TTTTTTTTTTAATATGGTTTGGGGCTTGACATTTTTAACTTTCACACAAAATAAATTTACAATAAATGAGCAAACTAGTAACTCCAAAGATTTTTTTTTATAAAAAAAACATATAATGATTAAATACACGAGGACGTAAAAATATCAATTTTTTAGGGGATAAATATCAAATTTTTAGGGGATAAAATATCAATTAATCCATATTGTAATATGCTAAACTCAATCAAAATTTGAACCTTTATGTGCCTAATTTTATTGAATTAAACTTTATCAAAACCGAGACTTGCCGGGAATGTAATACGAGGATATATATATATATATATATATATATATATATATAATCAGCAACGACTCTAATAATATGGGATTTGTTTAGTTGAGTAACTCAAACGGTGGAGATTTTAACTTGTTTAGTTAGAACGGTAGAATTTGAACTGTGGTGATTTAAACTGTAATTCGATATGTTGTTTGGATAATTTAAATTGAGAAAAAATATAAACTGTGTTTGGATGAAGTGTTGAAAACTATTATTAGCAGTTTGTAACAAATCTAATAAAATATCATTATAAATGACATTAAAAAATATACAATATGGGTGGAGATTTGTTCATCTTTTCATTATGAACACATTAAAAAAATTATCTTAATCAAAATTAAAATGAATAAGTTATGACATAAGATTGACATTGAAGAGAGAGAAATAGTAAAATTTAGAACTATTAACGGAAATAGTAGAAAATATGCCAATATGAAAAGCTTAAGAAAGTATATAGGCTAACTTTTAGTTTTAAAAATTAATAGGCCATAACTTGTCAAGTTATGGTTTATAACCAGATAAGTTATGAATAAACTTGTCAAGTTATGGTTCATAGCCAGACAAATTATGGACAAAAACTGTGAATTATGGATAATAACTTATTAAGTTATGGTTTATAACTAGACAAGTTATAGATAAAAATAGTAATTTGACATATTTATTAACTTATGTAAACTATTAATCTATTAATTTTAATTCATCTCAAATCTTAACATATTTTCTTCTTTATCCCATTTAAAAATCCCGAAAATCTACTAATTCTTCGCTGCTTTTATTTGTTACTTTTCTCCTTAATCTTAAACCTCTTTTTTTTTGTTTTTGTTTTGGTTTAGCTGAGAACTTTTTCTCAAACTAATTCCTATTCTTGATCACCGGCAATG